CCTATATGACTAAATACACCTCATTTTCACTAAAGAGACAAATTACTCAATTTTTTAATTGCAATTTAAAGTGGTGACCTCAAATATATTTACTTTCTTTCTCTTTTAATTTTTATTTTATTTTATGTAGAATCTAGTTGTCATAATTAAGAACCATTTTCTCTATCTAGTAAAAAATGAGTGGTGGAAACGGCCCCACCCAAACAATTTCTAATTAAACCTTTTCACTTTACAAAACAGGTATCATCTTCCTCCTTTAAGCGGATTAGATTGCCAAGTCTCTTTTGTCCCACGTATTGGTTTGCTTTGCGTGCGAAGCTGCCGCATGGTGGTGTGTTGAGGCACTCTAAAGTTCACGTTGTACTCAATAACAATATGCCGGGGGGAGGGACTCTCAACAGACTGCACAAGCCCATGCCACGGCATAACAGCCCTAGAATAAGGAAGTAAGTAGACAGGTAATTCAATTTCAAATTTTTTTTCTTTTCTTTTTTCGCATAGAACCTGTCCAATTATGAAAAACTGGGAACGGATTCCCCAGTCAATTTGGTAAACACACTTTGGTCAAAAGGGAAAAAACTAGGCAAAGACTTTATTATACTGCTTAGGACTGATGGATAATGCCTCTACTTAATTTAGGATTATAATAGAGCGCAGCTGTTTCCACCCTATATAACTTATCACTCCATTTTCACTGATGAGACAAAATTGCCTTCAATCATTCAATTGCAAGTTATAGTGGCAGCCTCATATTGATTTACCTTCCCTTTTTTTTTAGATTTTTTTATATTTTATGTAGGATCTAGTTGCTATAATTATGGTCGATTTTGTATGCCCAGTAAAAATGAGTGGTGGAAACAGCCCCTCCAAATAATTTCTGATTAAGCTCTTTCACTTTCCAAAACAAGCATCATCTTCCTCCTATAAATAAATCAGATTACCAAGACTCTTTTGTCACTGATCTCTCAAACAAAGACTGAGCTTGAAAGATGGGTAAACCAACAAGGCTCATTTTGGTGTCCTTGGCTTCCCTTGTATTGTTTTGCTTTGAGTGTGAAGCTGCGAAACCCGATGGTTTTTTTAAGCCTGATAAAGTTCTCCTTCAAATCACTAACAACTTGCCTGGAGGGGTGAATCTCACAATCCACTGCAAGTCCAAGAATGACGATCTCGGCTTCCATGGGCTTGGTCCTCGTGAATCCTGGTCCTTTAGATTTCAACCCAACGCGCTTATAAGCAACACTCTCTTCTTCTGCAGCTTTGAGTGGCCGGATCAATTTCATTACTTTGATGTTTATGTACAACAAAGAGATGCTATACAATGCAAACACATTTGTTTTTGGGGGGTCCTTCCAGATGGCCTCTGTTTATACAACATATTAGGTGGCAAATATGACATCTGCTATCATTGGAATCCGCCGTCATCAAGACTCCCTTTACCAGGATCTCTGGCATATTAGCTTATCTGTTGAGAAATGATTACATGAGAATAATGAGTGATCGAATAAATTCTCCTTCTGTGGTTGTTCATAGTTAATCATCACAGACTTTCAATCAGCGCATGCCAATTGAATTAAATTATTTTAACTGGGTTCAGTCCCATATAATCCATTTCCAATACTTCATTTAGACCTAATTCAAATAGAAGTGACATTTGCAAAGTTAAATTATCTCCCTCCGTTTAGTGTGGCATATAACCAAACGCAGTCCTCGAATTATTCAACATATGCAATGGATGTTTCGATCCCCAATCTCTGTTAGTAAGTTATGCGGTGGAAAAACAGTTCTAAAATGTCAATTTTTAAGCGTGTATATTCTCTCCATAAGGACAATTTTTTAGGAGGAAGGAGGATGCTTGTTTAGTAAGTTATGGTAAGGACAATTTTTGTTTCTCATTTTGTCGGATAAGGAGGAGTACATCTTGTTTTGTGAAGACCAGTTCCTCGTCGGCCACAATCATATATTAACCCTAACTAGTGATGAACGCTCCTCCACTCTTATCCTTCCGTTGGCATAACATATGACATTGCCGTTATGATGCAACGGAATTACATTAAAATGGAAATAAGATCATGTATAGCAAGAAATGAGAAAAATAAATGTAATCATAATCGATGTTGCAATTTCTGATATGACAATTCTTTATCCTTTGTTTGGAAAACTTTTTAATAGTCTCTAAACTTTCGCCCAATATGCAATAACCATCCTTCACTTTTAATTCATTTAATATGGTACTTGAAGTATTTCTAAATGCTCAAGCTAGTCCCTAAACATTTAATTTGCTCAATCTAGCCCCTCAACTTGTCAAGTCGGTTATTGAATTCACAAGTTCGCATAATTATACAATTGACCAAATTTTTAAATATCTTTTCATTTGAATTAATTTCCTAAATCAACAGAAAAAATGCTATCTTTTTATTACATTTTTATCTTTTTGGTCTTTGTAAATAGTACAATAGTAAGTATTTTTTAGCTATGATTTGTATGATAGTAAAGTAAAAACATCATTTAGAGTTGTATCAAGTTGACATTCTTGTTATTTTAATTTCCTTATTTACAGATTTAATTAAATTTAATTAAAATAATATGAAACATAAAAGCTTGAAAACTTTATGTATCTAAAAAAATTATGAACAAGATTTAGATTTTACAAGTGTGATACCTATTGGTAAACCAATATCATCTTCAGATATCCTTTAATTTGTTTTGCATAATAATGGGAATATCAATCCAATATAAATCTAAATGAGGTTCTACTTTTACTATTATAGATTACAAATTAAATGGAACTATTGAAATATTTATAAAAGCCAAAAAGGTAAAATTGTAATAAAAAGATAGCATATTATTTGTTAATTCAGGAAATGGATTGAGAAGAATATATTCCAAAATTCGAGCAATAGGCTAATTACGAAAACTTGTGAAAATTACCAACAAAAATATTTAACTTTTTCATGAAAAGTTGAAGGATTATATTGAACAAATTGAAAGTTTAGGGACTTAATGGAACATTTAGGAATAATTCAAGATTCATATTGAACGAATTAAAAATTCAGGGATAATGTTGCACATTATGCCAAAGTTTAGGTACTATTAGTGTCATTTTCCCTAAAAAAGTATAACAAAAATTCCAAGTAAAATAGGGGTGAGAAACACCAAAGTTTGTTTGGTACAACTATAGCTAGTAATGGCCACTGGGGCTGGCATGATGCATAGCACCTTGGCCCAAGTGGGCCCGGGCTGGCTTAGGCTCTTGGGTCCAAATCGACCGGCCTAAGCCTATTTTTTTTAAATGCCAGTGAGATTTCATTCATTTTGGATAGACAAAAGTTAATATCATTCATGGACTGTTTACAAAAAATATCAAAATGCCTCAATATGCATAACTTATTCACGTCGATTGTTTTGTGTATTTCTAAGTACTCCTATAATGTCTTACATGCTTAGTGTAAAAGTGTCTTGCTAATAGTAAATAAACACAAATTCTTTAATATAGTAAATAAAGAGACTTGATTTTTTTATTAGACTAATGAAATTTAATTTTACCAGGAAAATGAGATGTTGAGATACAAGGGACTAAATAGCAATAAATATAATTTTGACAAAAAACCATAAAAGGAAAATGACTAAGTTGAAGAAACTGTGCAAATACGGAAACCATTAAGGCCGGTTTTGTCAATCTAATCAAACATGGGTGGATTTAGGGGTGAAAAGAGCCCCGCCCAAATAATTTCCAATTAAGCTCTCACTTCACAAAACAAGCATCATCTTCCTCATTTAAACAGAATAGATTGTAGAGTCTCTTTTGTCACAGTCTTCTCAAACAAGGACAGGTCTGAAAGATAGGTAAACCGACAAGGCTCATTTTGGCATCGTTGGCTTCCGTTGTATTGCTATGCTTTGTGTGTGAAGCTGTCGAATCCAATGGTCCATTTAAGCACTCTAAAGTTCACGTTCTAATCACTAACACTTTGCTTGGAGTGCCAACTCTTACAGTGCACTGCAAATCCAAGAATGACGGTCTCGGCTTCCATTTGCTTGGTCCTGGTGGATACTGGTCCTTTGTATTTCGACCCGACGTGCTCATAAAAACTCTTTTTTCCGCAGCTTTGAGTGGCCAGGCCAATTTCACTTCTTTGATGTTTATGTACATACTAGAGATGATGACCGATGCGAACACAATTGTTTATGGAGGGTCCTACGGGATGGTCTGTGTTTATTCAATTTCGATGACGGCAAATACAACATATACAATCCTTGGAATTCACCGTCATCAAGACTCCCTTTACCAGGAACCTTGGCATAGAGGCCTCCTTGTGGAGAAATTATAACATTAGTACAATTATTTTAGATTAATTCAGCAAAACAAACCTCAACACTAGCACACTACTAGCATTATTCAGGAATTTCGGCCAAGTAACCGATAGCTTCGCAAAGTACAACGAAATTTCGGAACGTTTTATTAGACCAACACCAAAATGCCGACTCAAGTATTCAATGTCTAAGCAACGAATTCGAGCTCAGTTCTCAAATTCAAGTTAAGACTCCATGAACATCTTTTTGTGCCATCCACTTTAAGTGTATTTCAAGTAGGAGCCTATGCTCCAACCCGATGTTCTTCAAGCTTTTCAAACCAAATAACATCGCGTTACGGCCATATTTTATGCATCCTCTATAGTTGTTCAGTTACTTCATTGGACCCAAAAGCCACTCCAGCTATTTGAAGTATGAGTCAAATTTTAGGCCACTCGAAACTAACTCATATGTATCCCCGTGGCTCAAGTGACGACTCAGTTTTACCCTTGGTTACAAACTTGCAGGCAGCCAAGGGCAGAGAGCTTCGGCTTCCGTTTAAAGAAGCTTCCCCATAGTCTAAATGCCTACCATGCAAGTAGAGTGGCCGCCGTCGCCACCTCCGATCTACCCTTGTCTGCACTTAACCAATTCAACTTTGTGACATTACGATGCAAAACTAGACTAACGAAAGATGGCACGAGATGTAAACCAAAATAGGAGAGAAGAAGAAAATCCTTGGGTGTGAAAGGTTCGATTACAATTTTCTCCCTCACAAGAACAATCAATCTCTTCCTACCTAAATTTCGACTTATCTCTGACCAGGATTGGCATTTGTGAAAAAATCAACTCATACAAGATGGGCTTAAACCCATCGTCCTAACCAAAACGCTTTCCTTACAATGATTGGTGAGTTCAACTGGCATGCACCATCATTCGGAAGTCTAATAGTCCATGCCGCCCATGCCAGGAGGCATTGCCGCACCCTCCTTTTCGTCCTTAGGGAGTTCGACCACAACTGCTTCAGTCGTCGTCAACAAGGATGACACACTGCATTAAAGAAAAGATGGATATTAGGCAAGTGGATGAGAAGGTACGGTTAAGCCCAAATCAAAAGTAAATGCTTTAGCCAAAACAAAGAAAAGAAGCACAGGAGAAAGCAAAGTTACTCTCTTACCTGGCAGCATCAACCAAAGCAGTCCTGATAACTTTCAGTGGATCGATAATTCCAGATTTCACCATATCAACATAGTCACCTGCAAAGAATTTAAAAAGATGAGAATAGATTGCATCTCTATTTTTTAAAGAATAAACCATCCTAGAATCGTGTAGAAGGAAAATTGTGAGTACCTTTTGCTGCATCATATCCTAGGTCAGGGTTATCCTGCTCCAAGAGCTTCCCTACAACAACAGCTCCCTCGACTCCAGCATTGGAAGCAATGGCATGCACAGGTGTCTGCAACAAGAAGAAGTTACTTGCTAAAACATGGAATGAGTACGAATCACTCCCTCAAGTGTCAGAACAGAAACATGCCACGTGTTTTATTATTCCATCCCTTTTGAACTTAGCTGATTTGCTACATAATAAGTCTGAAAAGGAGATATACAGACCTTCAATGCATTCTGAATAATCTGGACACCAATCTTCTGGTCAAAGTTGGCAGTTTGCAATTTGTCCAACTCTTTTGATGCATAAAGAAGAGCAACACCTCCACCTGCATTTCTGCCTCATCACACACTTGTCCACATAATACAACTCTATGCGGGTTGAACCGCAAATATGGCTAAAGAAGGTTACCTGGTACTATACCCTCTTCTACAGCTGCCTTTGTGGCATTCAAGGCATCTGTAACTCTATCCTTCTTCTCACCTACTTCTGCTTCACTAGCTCCTCCAATCTGTGTAGGGGCAAGAAATAAGATTTGCAAAGCTTTCATGTCATAGATCATAAGAAACATCGAAACAGGGAACTTATACTAAAATTTATTGTGTTCCCTAAGTGTAAATTAACTAAATGATACATCTCTGTATGGAACAAACCTTCAAGACGGCCACACCACCAGATAGTTTCGCCAATCTCTCTTGCAATTTCTCTTTATCATAGTCTGAAGTGCTCAACTCAATTGCGGACCTAATCTGTTTCGACACAAGCAGAAAAGGTCAAGTTAAAAACTAACTTCCAATCAAAACAAATGACCAGGATACCATACAAGAACAGCGACGCAATCAAGAACGTTACAAGTGCCTACGCTCCACTAGGAAAGACAAGAATGCAACACAAACCAGTTCACATCTCTCCTCTATGGACTTCTTGTCACCAGCACCATCAAGGATAATTGTGTCATCTTTAGACACCGTGACCTACAAATTCATTGGAGACAAAAAGTAAGTAGAAGGAAGTCATTAACAGCAATGCCTGAATTACAAGGGTTAAATTAGTTCAACGTGGTACCCTGGCTTACCTTTTTGCAAGATCCAAGCATCTCCAGATCTACCTTCTCTAGGTTCATCCCAAGCTCTTCAGTTATTACCTACCAACAGAAAATAGAAAACATGAGTGAATGGCTTAATCATATCAATTGGAAATCAGACACAGGCTATCAGGCAGATAACTCACTTCACCACCAGTAAGACTGGCAAGATCCTGTAGACCTGCTTTCCTGTTCTCTCCAAAACCAGGGGCCTTAATAGCACAAACCTAAGCGGAACATGATGGAGAAAAGTTCAGCACTTCCTATTCATGATATTGATAAGGAAATGGCTAGTGAAAAACCTGATAAAGCATTACCAACCTTGATTCCAGCTCGAAGCTTATTTAGGATAAGAGTTGCCAGGGCATCACTTTCAACATCCTCAGAAACAATGAGTAATGGTTTCTGTCTCTGAACAAAGGCACATTCCGTCAGACATGTATCCATGCAATCGCTAACTGGATATATCAAAATAAAGTTGGTGCATTGGAGGTTACCTTTAGTGCCAACTCTAAAACTTTTACAACCGCATTTATACTTGAAATTTTCTTCTCATGGATGAGTATGAGGGGATCTTCTAACTCCTGTCAAAGCAAAAGACACCGTCACTTGATTGTTGCTGCACAATTGTAGATAAACCAGCCAAACCAGCCAAACCATCCATAAAGATGCTTACGCATTTCTGGTTCTTCTGATTGGTGATGAAATAAGGGGAAATGTAACCTCTATCCAGCTTCATCCCCTCAACAACCTCTAGTTCATTGTATAATGTCTTCCCATCCTGCAAGAAAAAGGAATTCGAAATCCATGGGCCTCAGCAATTAAAAAAAGATGCAGCTCAAATCAAAATCATGCATACAAAGTATCAGCATGACAAATATATATATATATATATATTTATATTTATATTTATATATTTATATTTATATTTATATATATAACTCAACACAAATATATTGAGATATGTTGTAACTTACCGAGATTGTGATAACACCCTCCTTGCCCACCTTTTCCATGGCCTTTGCGATCAATTCACCTATTTCCCGCTCACCATTAGCCGATATCGTTCCAACCTATCGATATACACATAGCATAATTTGTAATGAAAGCCGTCTACATCAGAAACCCAATGGATGCCAACTGCTACTGCATAAAATCGTAAAAAACAATGGGTATAATACCTGTGCAATCTCCTCTGATGTGCTGATCATCCGTGCCCTGCTTTTTAAATTTGTTACAACTGCATCAACTGCCATTGTGATGCCACGTCTTAAGTCCATTGCATTCATCCCAGCTGCAACTGACTTGCATCCCTCGGCGAATATTGCTCGTGTGAGGATTGTAGCACATGTGGTGCCTGAAACACAAGGAAATTGGTATAAGCAAGCATCAAATATGATGAGAAAAGACAAATTCTAAGCACCACCAAAAACAATGCATAAGCAGGATACTGATCCCACCATCTCCAGCGACATCATTGGTTGCATTTGCAACCTGCTTTACAAGACTAGCACCAACATTTTTAATTCTATCCTTGAACTCAACACTCTTTGCCACAGTAACACCATCCTTTGTCACCTTGGGTGCACCAAAGCTTTGCTCAATCACCACATTACGACCCTATAAATAGTAAGAAAAAATAATCATATCAAATGGTTACTAATGCCAATCATTTCAAAAAGCGGCAAAACTAGCATAGATGATCGCCAGATCCCACTTTCCTAATGTAATTGAGTATACACAGCCCGGAAAACATGGAAGAAAAGAGAGCTCCGTTCTCTTGAATTATTCAAGTATACATTAGGACCAGTTTTAAAATAATGTCCAAAAAGAGCAGCATAAGAGTCAGCTGCTTCAAAACTTTCACACAGCCGAGCAAACAGAAATTTCGAAATTTCGAAAAGCCCTGAGAGTAAATTTACTTGTTTTGCAGCAGAAATTAGGAAGTTATTCCCCCAAGGACCAAGACATCAACAGCACCGCATTACCTCGATTCAGAATTCATCCAATAACAGGAATTAACCAATTTAAGCTGATATTACAGCAGTCCCACCAATCATTTTACCATGACAGTACTCCAGCTAGCTACCATACGTGTACTAGAATCAGGGATGCCAAACAGATTACCTTCGGGCCCATAGTGACCTTCACAGCATCTGCGAGGTCTTCCACGCCCTTAAGCATCAAGGAACGTGCCTCGACCCCAAATTTGATATCTTTGGCAGCATAATTCCTTGTCCAGCTTGCTCTGCTACCAATCTGCGCAAAAGCAACATAAAACAAATTTGAAAACCACAGAAACAACCTCGTGCCGGTTCACATGCCCGGAAATCCATCGAAGGAACTAACACTGACCTGGTGAGCACTGTTCCTTGCGATCCTTGTACAAGGGGAGAAAGACAGAAGCAAACAAAAAAAAAACCAAGAAGCCCACATCAGCAAAAGGAGCGACTAAGAAAAATTCAGCTACTTGTCTGATTGATATTAAAACAAAAGCAAAGTCGAGATAACATATAATGTGAATGTATCCAGTCCGGTTACTCCAGCGATCTACAAGAGCTTGGCTCAAACGCTCGAAAGATGGAGCCTTTCCGCTTCCATCACCAGAAACGTGGAAATGGCGAGCGACCCAGATTAGCTGCCGCCGGTTTCTCGCACTATCGAGACGAAAAGAGAAGAAGAGCCAGAGCAAATCTTGGAGAGTTACCTGGCTTTGGAAGCAACGCTCGAAGCGAAGCGGTACATGGTGGTAGCAGAAGGAGGAGGACGAGACGAGACGAGACGAGATGGGAAGGATCGAGTGGCGGAGCAGAGGGTATGAGCTGCTTGGGTGTTGCAGGAGGAGGGGGAGGGGCTATGGCATTTGAAGAGAGAGGAAGGCTCTAGAAGGAAAAGGAGCTTATAGGGTTTAGGGTTTTTGGGGCGTCCATTTTTGGGAAAACAGTAAAAAAAAATTAAAAAACGAAAAAAGAAGGAGGGGAAGAGATGGTTCGATGTGTAAACGGCGTGGACGTGGGGATTCGGGAATCGCCACTGCTTTTTACGCCAGAAGACACACGAGGGATTTTTTTGACTTGTCCTCCAAGAAATAGAAAAGTGACACTCCCAATCGATGAACTAATTTCCTAAAAAAATCCCCAAAGTTTAAGTATAGTTTCAATTCTATCTCAAATTCTTCTTTTTCAAAAAAAAACCTCAAATTTTAGGTACAATTTCAAATTTACTCCAAAATTTATTTCGATCTCAGAAAAAGCCTCAAACTTTAAGTTTAGCCCCCAATTTACTTTGAACTTTTTTTGTCTAAGAAAAAATCATCAATTTTTACTCTAATCCCAAATCTATCATCATTAACCCTTTGTCACTAATTTTCATTTCTTTAGGATGGCACCTTATATTTTTGCCAAGCGTAAATGTATCCATATTACAAATCTTACTAAAATGGTTTCATTGTGGAGATAATCTTCCAACCTTGCTAATGTTGATTTGTTATCGATGTGAAAGTGTCACATCAAGTTGGGACTGGACACGAGAGTAGATTTGAGGATAAATTGAAAATTTGTGGACAAAACAAAAGTCAGGACAGATTGGAACTGGACTTAAAGTTTTAAGTTTTTTCTTAGATAAAAAAAAATTCAAGTCGAATTTGGGATTGATCCTAAAGTTTGGATTTTTTTTTTCTTAAACAAAACAAAGTTCAAGATACAATTGGATTTCGGACCTAAAATTTGAGATATTTTAGAGAATTGGGCCTCCAACCTATTGTAGTCCCACTTTTAGGTTTTTCCTTTTTTTTTTCTTTTCTTTATACTCGATCAAAGCCTATCTCGTGTCGTGCTAGAGCAAGTCGTCGTGATTGACGTAATCTTATATTCGGGGAACCGATTGTGCTTTTGTATAAAGGAGGTTTGCATCGGAGGATAGGGAAGGGCAGGGCGTGGATCGAGACATGTTGCTATCCCGGCCCACGGGAATTCTAATTGGGTTGCGCACGAATGTCGTGATAAAGCCAAGTAGGGTGGCAGAGGGGAGCCCCGTTTTTGAATGCATTTGGGATTAGTTACATTACTAGATACCTCTACTCTTTTAAATGGCACGAAGTTATTTAGGTAAATTACAATTAATTTGCAAAAGACAAGGAAAATCGACTACACAAGCATATTATTTTGCTATGAGCATATCCATTTATCACAAATATTCGTCAATCTTTTTTCCAATTCTTGCGTGCTCTACAAGATAGATTTGGGGTTTCATGTTATATCGTCGTTTGAAGTATGGGATGAGTTTGGAACGTGTACTTGACTTGTTAAATTCAAGTTGAAAGTAGGGTTTAGTCATTTCAAACTTTTCCCGGTGCATTTTCTATCGACAGCGGATGTATTGTAGATTCCCATTGATCTATTCTATGCGCGGCCAACTCCACGTTGAGGCAAGATATCAAAAGTAGTACTTCATAGAGGTAGTGACCATTTAAAGTGATTCTTACTTACATCATAGAGGTAGTGACCATTTAAAGTGATTCTTACTTACATATTACTCAAAATAACATTAACTATTGGCAATACAATCCCTATTTGACGCTTGATTAGGTACAATTCCCATTCACCCTAGTTGAAAATATGCAGAAAATAAGAATTAAGGAATTTGTGTATATTTTGATATATCATAATGAAGAGTACATTAACCTATTAATAGGTTCTATGAGATAACTATATGCACAATCAAAGAAGATATACTCGTAATTTTGAGAGATATGGATAATTGATAAAATTATCAAAATATCTCTAAAATAAGAAATTATCCTAAAGAAATCTCTATTATCTCCGGCAACCTTTTTGAAAGCTCTAGAATTCACTTCTCGGTGAACCTTCTCACCTAGCAATATTCCTTTCTCTAGTCAGATTAACTGTACTCCATCCGAAAATTCCACATGTATTGGAGAGGCTCCAAAAACGACGTACCCAAGCCAAGCCCCCAAAAGTAGTATAACAACTCAGTAACATAAAAGGGGATAACCATTTGGGATGGATTTTATACTTATAAAATAAAACCTTTCACATTCCGGAATTGGAGTGTCGCAATTAAAAATTTAAAATACTTTAGCTAAGTTAAATTTGCCCATATATTGGATTTTTTTTTTAAATCCAAGTCGCTAATGAAGAATTTCAAATTAATGTTGTTATTTCAACTGAAATTCTATTATTTCCTTAGGAGTCGGGTGCAAAATTTCATTTGTACAAACTAATGTGGATGAATGTCGTACATTATTTTTGCGTTGAAATTTTACTTTTGTCCCTAGTTTAGTGTTACACCAACGTCACTCGCCTTAATAATATAAGCCGGATTTCATTAAAGTCCTGGTAAAAGTTGGAATGGAGACCATCTTTTTCAATTCGCCTTATCGTATGGAAAGATCGATATTCTATTGGATAGCATAATCTGACTATTGTATATAGAATAGCACAATCAACTTTAGTGAAACTCAATGCTAAATATAGTTTGCATTCATGACAGTTTTTGTAAGGGAAACCTTAATATAACTATATACACAATACGTATAAGTTCTAGGTCAGTCGATTTTTCATTACTCTCACTCAATTGGCACATGCCGTCACGAGATCGATTTTGGGCAATCTCTAGCGACCAACAATGATCTAGGGACAAAAATATAGATCTATTAGACTTGACACATGATCATTAATCATAGATGGCTATTCAGGTATATATTATATACCAAGCTCGATATCCAAATACATGGCGAACGTTGGTGAATTTGGGCATTTTTTGTACGGCAAAAGAGTAGGACCAGGGTTACGATGGTTTGTTGTGATTAGTAGTAATACATCACTTTAGTCGATGAAACAAGTTCCTATCACATTTTTGGCTACATTTGTTTTACGAAAAAATAATAATTTTAAAAATAATTTTCTAATTATAATTGTTATTATCGCTTACAAAAATGACTCAATGAAAAATATTAATAACAATTCATGCCTAAATACTTTTGTTGGTAGTAAGAATATTTTCCATTACCTTTTTTTCTTAAGAGGTATACATGATCAAACATAAGATTTTTTTTTCCAAATTATTAATTTTTGTGAAACAAACGAGATTTGATGCACAAATTGAACTTCAAGACGTATGATAAAGTTAAGGTTTGAGGCATAAAAAGAACTTCCCAACTTCTTTGTTTTAGAAAATTGAGCCGTGGCAATAAATTGTTAATAAACAGTGGCAATATTTGAAATGATTAATACCATGAAAAATCATAAACTGGTATATCTGTGACATATTTATTCCAAACAATTTAGGATTTTTTGACCACAAAAAACCCTAAATTAGTACATATATGATAAATTTACCATACGTTAGTTTCCATTAAATTTTACCGTCAAATTGCTGAGTTGAATGGCACTTGACAGTTGACGGATGTACTAGTTTGGGGTTTTACTCCCTGTTTGTCACAGATGTATCAGTTTGTAGTTTTCATGATATATATCCAATTAAACGGAAACTAACGGAAGGTAAGTTCGTCACAAATATATCAGTTTGTGTTTTTTGTGGTCAAAAAATTAATTTGGGATAAATTTGTCAAATGTGAACCATTTTGAGATTTTTCGTGGTATTAACCCTATTTAAAAATAACTTTAGATGGACAACAAAGGAAATAACAAGAATAGGAAAGACATGACCTATTCACAAGACACGAAATACATAGTAATGCACGAATTGTAATGTGAATATTTGAATATGATAACGTACCACACCTCAAACTTTATATGTTGACATTAATTAACACATTTTCATCGACATTTATTTGGCATTTAAATCAAAATTAGAATGTTTTAGGATGACACGAATTGACATTATTACAAACATGATTTGACACACCAATATGTATTACCACCTCTAAAAGAGAGAAGAATTGAGAAAGCAAAGAAAACTTAGAGAAAAGAAAGAGAAAGGGAATCAATAGAGAGGGGGCTAGGTTCATGCACATCACGTACACCCTAGCGCAATGTCGTTTCAAAGTTATTTTTTGTGATACTATTTCCACCTCTGTATGACTAAATTCACCCAATTTTCACCAAATAAGCAAAATTTCCCTCTATCAATTGCGATATAAATTGGTGGTCCCAAATTTATTCACTTTCCTTTTTTTAGCTTTTCTGTATCTATGTAGGATCTACTTATAATAATTAATAATTTCATATATTTAATTTTTGTTAATTGTAGATTTTCCATGTATATTAAAGGCACTATGCTTTTTTTATTGTTAAATATTACTTCAATAAAATTTTGTTTTGTCAAAAAGAGAAATTTTCAAAAAGTCTAGTTCTTTTCCACGTTGTCGATCATATTTGTGGATAAATCGTGGAGTAGATGAATTTAATTAAATCAAAACATTGCGTAAAGTAAGTACTTTTTTTAAATGCCAGTGAAATATCATTACTTTTGGATTAACAAAAATTAATATCATCTATGAACTGTTTACAAAAAAATATCCAGATACCTCATTGTGTATAATGTTTTTAGTTTATTTCTATATATTTCTTTAACGTCTTACATGCTCTATATAAAAGTATCTCGCCAGTATAATAAGGAAAAAAGATAAATTCTTTAATATAGTAAATAAAGAAACTTGTGATATATTTTAGATTTAATGAAATTATTAAAAAGTTCACCAAGAAAGCAAGCTTTTGAGATAAGAAGGGAAAAAAAATAGATAAGTTGTTATAAGATCGATGATGAAGAAGAGACATTTCAGTTTTATACTATATCAAAGAATGTCTTTTTTCCTTACTATTAGCGAGATGATTTTACACAGAGTATGCAAAACATTATAGGAATATGTGAAAATGAATTTTTCTTTAATTATGTTAACTATCAC